CCCCCGCGCTCACCTCAGGCCTGGAGCCGGCGGCCCGGCCCGGCCCGCCGCCCCACGGCCGCCGCTTCCGCTCCCCTCTCAGCGCCCGCCGGAAGTGAGCGGCGGCGGCGGCGGCAGCGCGTCGGGCCCCGCCAACCGTTCGAGCAATCAGAGCCCGCACGGCGGCGCCATCTTGGGGAAGGGCTGAGGCCGCGCCGGAAGTAGCCATCACGTGCTTCCGGCCGCAGCAAAAAGGGCCGCCGCCCGCCGCGCCCCGGAGCGGCGCGAGGGAGCCGGAGTGCGCATGCCTCTGCTGTGGCCCTGCCTTAAAGGCGCAGCGCCAAATAAAAGACCTTAAAGGGGCAGTGCCGAATAACGGCTCTTAAAGGGGCAGCGCCAAATAAAAGACCTTAAAGGGGCAGTGCCGAATAACGGCTCTTAAAGGGGCCAAATCGAGGTCCTTAAAGGGAAAGTGCCAAATAAAGCCTCTTAAAGGGGCAGCATCAAATAAAGGCCCTAAAAGACACGGTGCCAAATAAAAGCTCTTAAAGGCACAGCATCAAATAAAAGCCCTTAAAGGGGCAGCACCAAACGAGGACCCTTCAAGGGTTGCTGCCAAATTAAGACCCTCAAAGGCACAGCGCCAAATCAAGCCCCTTAAAGGGCCAGTAACCCCATGGGGAGCCGCTGCATCGCGTGGCTTTGCCTGCAGAAGCTGGGGCGGAGGAGCAGCGAGGTGAGCCAAAATGAACAGGGAGATGGGGGGGGGGGGGGCACACGTTGGACACAGCAGTACAAGGCAGGGATTTTCTCTCTTTTAATTAAAAAATAAGATGTACAAAGATGAGGAAAATCGACAACTCCTCCTCCTGAGCAAATAAGGCTGAACGCAACCCTGCGGCTGCCAAAGCCCCGCGCCCCTCCCGGGCCACGTCCTCACCCCCACATCCCACCCCTGCCCCACTGCCGCGCCCCCTCCCCACCCCCGTGTCCGCCCCAGGACCAAACCCTTGCCTCCACCTCCACTACGAGCTCAAACATTACGGTCAAACACGGTGTTAAATTACCCAAAACCCACCAAAAACCCCCCAACCCCCCCCCCCCCCCCCCCCCCCCCCCCCCCCCCCCC